AGGAGCTTCAATTATGATGACATGAGATTCTCACTCAAGTTTCAGTGACTTGATGTACAGCAGTCACATAGTTTCTACCTCAGTGACAGGTTTTATTACTTACACTAGGAAATAAGAACATAGAATATACCCAGTGCAAGGTTTTGAGAGAAGTGCTGAGCGTGTTGCAGTATGTGCTATCAGACTGAATTAAAACTTCTTTTGAAGGTGTTGAAAACAGGCCACCATTGTTGAAAGCAGGCCACCCACACAAGGACAGTGATATATGAGGCTTGATTTCTAGTGCTGGCAAAGTGAGCTTAACAGCTTTCTCCTCAAAAGTTAGCATTTTCTCATACTTTCCTGTTCTATAGGAATGAGTAGATGTAGGTGTCAGCTTGATACTAACTATTAAAGAAACTGGTATGAGACAGGATCTCCTGCAGCTAGACAAATTCAAACTGAAGTGACTAAAGTGAAAAAATACTCTAGGTGGCAAGGGAACTCTATTCTGTTATTGCAGAATGGATTTTATTTCAGGGTGTTACTGGTACTTATTTATACTTCATAGTTGCACAAGAAAGAAGCAGGAATGTACTTATTGGAATGAGAATAGATGAGATGCAATAAGGAAAGATGAGATTTGATGGAGAGGATCAACCACATAAAGGCTGCAATTAGTCTTTCATGTACCAATCTGTTTCCTTCCCAGAGTTTCATCTCCAAATTCTTCACCTTTACCATTACATTTTCTTGTTCTATTTGAAATTGAGATATCAAAAATATAGGGGTTTTTTTTGTTTGTTTGTTTTTTTTTTTCTTACTAGGGAAACAAGATCTGGGCTTCTCTCTGTTTAAGGCAAAATGACAGTGAACCTGGCATAAGCCTCATCCAAAGACCACAACAGTGAGCAGAATTACCTCTGTCATGTCTTTGGTATTACTGAAGTGTTTAAGGTCAAAATTTCCACTCAGGGCTATGATATTTTTTTCCCCACTTTTTGAGGGCATTTTCTTATTGATTTCTTATTGTGAAAACTTTAATGTGCTTACTATCATCCCTGGATTTATTCTGAATTTGATTYAATGCATTTCAGAACTCACTGCTGGGGAAGAAATCCACTGACCTTGATGAATATCAGCTCATYATGCAAAACCTTCAGCTTTTGCATCTGGTCCTGGTTAGTTACATAGTTTGGTTTTCAAACAGGCRAACAAAATACTCTAGATTTACTCACAAATTATCTCAGCTTTATACAGAAAAAATCCATGCATGTTTTTAGGAACTCCAGGTTTKTAAAGAGTACAGATAAATTTTATTTGGCATGGCTTTGCTTCAAATATGATCACTTGATTCTAGATACATTGGAATGGCAAAATCTAAACTCAGCCACTTCTGTAGCCATGCCAGCACAAACACATCCTTCATTATTCCTTGTCAGTTGGAGCTTAAAATTAGAAAAGCTCAAGCCAATAAATGAAAGCTCAGAATCTTTACACATTTATGCTAAATCTGTTCTGTTTGTRCTACTATAAGATGTGACAGTGGGCCTAGAAAAGGATGTAAAGGAAAATAAATAGATAAAAACCACTCYATAAAAGACACTCTATGCATTTTTTCAAGTCAGTATATACATCTACCGCTTTTATTTTTTTAATGGGCTAAATAATAAAAAAATTAATTTCCCCAACATGGGAAAATTAGACTTAAAATTAATGAATCTGTACATTTAGGAAYGAGCTTACATCAGTTTCTTATTTTACTGCTTTCTTTGGTTCTCCAGACTCCCTTTCAACAGTGCTTCTGCTTTGATGTCTTGCTCAGATTGCCAGAAGGCTTTCAGTTGCAAATGCAGGTGTTTTCAACTGTTAGATGCAGTTGCGTTGTATTATTCATCACCTCAATAAAAAAATGTATTAGTGGGACACTTATTTTRCAGAGAGGACAAAACAGGGATAATTGGAAAGATGGCAGACTGTACATASATGAAGATGTTGCTTAGTGAAACATGTTTGGCAGTGGAGGAGACAGGTTTGCACCTGCGTTGCTGCYGTTTCATGTATCAGTCCTTGAACCTTTAAAGTTTTTCTAACAGTCTGTCTTCCCCTCAGACTGGTATCTGAAACCAATTAAACATGACTTATGAGAAGTACAGCTCTATTCACAGAGAGCACCCAGAAATCATCGAGGTATGTCAGGGGTTATTTGTTACATGCTGGTGCATTTCCCTGGGTTTTGTTGTTTTAGTGCTTGGGGAAACTCGTGTGTTCCCTGAGCTGCTGAGAATTACTAGAGATGCCAGTGTATGGATCTGCACCTCAAGAGCAATCCTGAGCTTGTTACGTAGTAAAATKAATACTTCAGTCTTCCTGCTGACAAGGGTTTCTCTGTAACACTTTCCTTGTCATTCTGAGATAGCTCTGTGCCACACAAACAAAGCAGAGGGCTGACGAGTTGTGACCCTACTCAGAGTTAGAGATGTGCAGTAACCYTGCTCTGAATGCTGCCAGCTGCAGGGGACTGGGATTCACCTTTCCACTCCACTCACCTGCCTCAGAAACGGAGGCAGAGCATAACTGGTGAGAATGAACCAAAGCTCGACAGTGAAACTGTATTAAACATATTTACCAAAGGTGGTAAAGGGATCAAGGAGAATCAGGGTAGGGGAGGATAAGGAAAAGGGCTGGGAGATAAGTAAACCCATTGAAAGCAAACAAAATGCCAGAGAATTGTTTTCCCCTTCTTCCCATACAATATTCCTGATTTTTCTTCTGCTCTACCAGCTTTCCCTAGATGGACACTATGCATGTCCATCTCTCTGGAAATCTCCCATTTTGAACACCTGGTAACCCTGTATGCTTTGTACCTATGAATACAAACGTGTTCTTGGGCTGTTCCATGGCAGAAAAGCACTTGAATATTTTGTATCACTCCAAAGGTCGGAGGCATCTTTTTGATGTGCATGCATTTGCTCATCTACCAAACTTTACACTTACGGCTTTTTGAAAACAGATATTCTAATCATCAGTCTTGAGAACTTTTGTTTCTGAAACTCTTTCATCTTTCATCTTTTTTTTTTTCCACAGAAGCCTCAGTGCTTTAAAAAGCACGCAGCTTAGTACCAGGAGATGGGAATCTCTCCTGCAGCCGCCTCCTCATGCTAATAACACTTCCAGGTGGTGGTGAAGCCCGTTGTTTTACAGCTCCAGGTTGTGCCTGACTGGAATGGAGGGAGGTCTGTTGAATCCAGTGCCTGACACTTCTAGAAAGAAGCAAATCATTTTGTTTGTACCGACATGAGAGAATTCTTCCTTAAAAGCAAATCTCATTTGGACTTCTGGAAGAGATTTAAATTCTGGTTTCTGGATTTAAAACAAAATAGCCTCTGAACAGTTCATGACAGTGAGGAGCATAACATTTCTGTTGCCTGCTAAGCATGCCGTCTTCTGTTGGCTCTACTGGCTTCTTGGCCCCAGCCATCTTCTTTGGTAGTAAACCCAGCTGTAGAGTTATGTTGTGTGAAAAAGCAACTCCTTCAATCTGATTCTAATTTGCTGAGTTGTAATGGTCTCCTTGCTTTTTATGCTATAAACCCAAAATGAAGGTTTTCTACTCCACCATTTCTAGGCTCTTAATTCTAAATTCCTCATCTYTATTTTCTTAGGCAAACATGTTTTTCTTTTTATTTTTTCACTCTCTGCTTAGATGTGTTTCCAGAGTCTTCATTATTCATCTTTCCTTCTAACCCTGCAATCCTTGYGGTGGGATAACCTGTATAAAACTCTTCTTCCACCTGAATTCACACATCAGGCAGAAGCCCATTGTTGCAATTTGGGGATGGCTTAGGATTTCAGAGCTTCACATCTTTGTCACTTAGGTGCCCCTCACTATCTTAACCTTTCTAAGGTACAGTGAATGCCACATTTAACTCTTTCGTTGTTTATTTCCCAGTGCCTGTTTTGGGCCAAAATGCGACTTAAAGAAAACTTACGAGTAAAATTAAGTATCTCTCCCATATACATACAAATGTTACCAGAAACAAAACTTGTGAGGTACTAGGGGCCAGACTGGCATTATTCAAAGCAAATAGAGATTGTGTTTTTCATTAATCTTTATATTTCACATTTTTTYCCCTCAGGTCATGTTTCTTCCATGAAGCCCAGAACTGTTTCTATAAGCTTATAATCTGACATGGGATTTACATGGTTTAAAAGGGCTTTACTGCTGCTGTTCCTGTAGAGCTGGAGCAGAGCTGGTTTTGCTGGGCTGAATGGATGGTGGTCTGTAAAACACTCGTGTAGCAAAAGTGGGTTTCTCAGGGCGCCGAGACTGCTCTGGCCCCATCCACAGCTTTCTACCACGGTTTTCCCAAGAGAGCTGCTGGTGCTCGCGGGCGTACCAGGACCACCAGAGGCGGCTGCGGCCACCAGATCCCAAAAGCTGTCACCAACCATAAGGCATCAGTACGCTGTTGGCAAACTGAAATCATGGATTTTCCCTTAAGGGCSGCGTTAAGATCTTATTAACGGCCCCCAGGCCCTGGTTCCTCGACCATTTTATGGCTGAGTTGCCGCAATTCATACATTTTGGCGGTGGGCTGGGCTGAGAGGAGCCTGCGTGCGAGCTGCGCTCTCCTCGCACCTCTCCCCGCCCCGGTCAGGCGAGGGCTGCCSGGCCAGCGCCCGACTCAGGGCTCGGTCGCTGCCACGGCAGGACGRGCTGTGCCGMGCCKTGCCGGGCTGTGCCGAGGCGAGAGCAGCCCGTGCCCGTTCCCTGAGGCCGCGCCGCCCGCATATGCCCAGCGGCGGCGCGGCTGACGGGGCAGGGGCGGGCCCGGCTCGGAGGGCGGCTCGGCTCGGCTCGGCTCGGCTCAGCTTAGCTCAGCTCGGGGCTGCGGGACCCGCCTCGCCCGGGCGATGCCTGAGCGCGGCGGCGGCGGCAGCGGCAGCGGCAGCGGGGGGGCGGGCGGGTAGCGGCAGCGGGGACGCGGCGCTGCTGCCCTGCCTTTCCCTGCCCGCCGCTGGCCCGTCCCCCGCCCCTCCCCGCTCCGGTGCACGACTCAGCCGCCGCTCCGGGCAGGGAGGAAGGGCTGGGAGCCGCCTCCCGCTGCCCCCGGCCGCCCCCTCCCCATGCAGCCCGGCCCGCCGCTGGGAGCCCTCCCCGGGGGGATGTTTCTGCGGCCGCTGCCGGGATAACCGGCGCGCCGCCCGCCCCCGCCCCGGACGGAGGATGCTGCCCGCGCCGTGGCGGGTTCCGACTCGGGCAGCAGCGGCCGCGTCCGCCTCCTCGGCTCCGGGCAGCGTCGCCGGGGAGAGATGAGTTCGCGGCACCAGGCGGACTGGATCCCTTACAGGTAGGGGGAGACCCCGCGGGAGGTGGCGGGTGGGGCGGAGGCACCGGGGCTGCCCCTGGGCAGGAGCCGCTGCCCCTCGGGGTGTCCTCACCGGAGCCCGTGCCTCGGTCCCGGKGCCGGGGCGGCCGGACCCTCACCGGGGCGCGGCGGGTCCCGCCGCGGGGAGCGGATCGCGAGCCGGTCCGTGCGGGCGCTGCCGGAGGGGGGCCCGGTCCCGCCTCCCAACTTCGGGCTGGTGCCGCTCCTTGAAGTTCGGGGGCTGCTCTCGGGGCGAGCTGTCAGCCCCGCGGGGCGCGGGCAGAGCGCGGAGCCGTCCTGCYCTGCGGCCCCGGCGGGCGCTCGGGCGGAGCGCTGCGCCGTCGGTGGCGGCGGCCGCGCCTCGGGCTTGGGCTCCGGGCCGCGCTGCCCCCGCCGCCGGCGCTCCGGGAGCGGGGCTGCGGGCGGGCGATGCGCGGGGTGGCCGCGGCCGGCGGTGCCGCCATGGCGGGGAGCGGGATCGCCATGGCAGCGCCCGGCCCGCGGCTGCCATTGGCTCTGCCGTTGCCATAAGCTACGGGAGCCGCGGCGCGGCGGCGGCCCGGGAGCCCCGTGCGTCAGCGGAGCCGGCCCCGGCCCCCCGTGTGCGGAGCCCCGCGGTGCGCCGAGCCCCCTGCCCTACCCGGCCTCGCAGCCCTGCCGTGCCCGGAGCGCCCGGGTTCGCAGCGGCAGCGTTCGCGGCTGAACCGAGGGAATAGTTTGTATCAGACTCTCCGGTCCAAGGGGAAACCGAGCCAAAGATTTCTCTCTGGGCGGGATGGGCTGTTCTAGTGATCAACCCGTTCCCGAATCTGCTGTTCGGAGTGCATTAACAGTATGGGGTTTTCTATTATTTAGTTTTCATTAAAGTATCTTTTTTCCAATTGAATATTTATAGAAGGAAGTCACGAGGGGTTTAACAAGGTGCTCTGGATACGAGAGAAAGCATGTTTGTTTCATTCAGGTTTGTTTCATTCAGGTTTGTTTCATTAGGTTGGCATTAAATGAAACAAAGTAGATACAGAAACACAGGACAAGAGGACGCAGTCTTAAGCTGCACCCGGGAGGTTTATGTTGGACATTACGAAGAATTTATTCACAGAAGGGGTGTTTGGGCATTGGAATGGGCTGCCTAGGGGGCTGGTGGAGTCACTGTCCCTGGAAATGTTTAAGGAAAGACTGGACGTGGCACTCAGTGCCGTGATCTAGTTGACACACACTAGGTGGTGTTCAGTCATGAATTGGGCTCGATGATTTCAGAGGTCTTTTCCAACCTAGTTGATTCTGTGATTCCCTGACAAACATATTATTTTTCTTATTGGTAGAGAATAATGGACTATGTACAGAGTGCATTTTAAAACAAAGCTGTTTAAGCAGGTCAGTTGTAGTTTGCCCCATTCTCAATGACAGTGGTTCTAGCAGAGCCGTGCCACAATGAATGCAATATAAACACAAATAATGCATTCCTTACTATGGAGAAAAAAAAAAATCCACGATAGCTGCACAATTGGAAATCTGCTATTTTGACATGTGCACATAATAGTTCAAATCAATAGAAGAATTAGAAAGAAAGGAGTGTGATTACAATGAATCTGAGAATATTGCCACTCTCTCTGCAATAGCACTTGCAGCCCATGCATTTTGAAAAGACGTAAGGAATTGGCAATAAGGCTTCAAAAATGACTAGTGGATGCATTCTGATGCAATTTGAAGCCTTGTAATGAGGACCGAAATACCAGAGGAACAGCTGTTCATGGCTCTCCGCAGCAGCAGTGGAACAGTTTCTCCGTTCTCTCGCTGTACACAAGGCTCTGCCGAAGCCAATGCCACAACTTTGCTGAGGGGTTTTATGGCAGTGGCCTTGAAGAAGGAAATAAAACATCTCTACTTCTGCTCAGTGCAGCTTGGAGAAGCAAAGGGAGGCAAAGCAGCAAATCTTCAGAGAAACAAAAGATTTGAGATGCTCTCGTGTCTTTTCTAAGATGATGTTATTCTTGAATGTTAATGGTRTGTTTATGGTCAGAAACTGTTGAGGACTGCTTGAAACCAAGAGGCAACCAAATCACACTTCTGCGCTGAAGTGTYTTTATGTAGGCTTCTAACAGAGTTTCTCAAGACGCTGACTTATTTTTCATCTTCATAGGCAGTTCTTGAATTAGAGGTATATTAGTGCAAATCTTACTGTACTTGTGTGTTTAAAGCATCTTGAAGGACCCCCTAAACATACTTACCTAGGAAGCAACGGTATGTGAACACATATGTGACTGAGTTTACACATGAAAACACTGTATTAGTAAATTAGGTCAAAGTACCATCTTGTGGGAGTGAAATACACGAGGGGGAGGAGAGACCTGATGTGCACCCCTTGGAATAGTTCATCCTCTCTCTGAGAGCAAAATGCTCCACGCTTATCTGCCCTGTTGCTTCAGATTCTTGTTTACTGTGGTGAGTTCAGTGGTTGCTGAGTCTCAGAACTTGGAAAGTTCAGCACCTTCTTTATGGCCTGGGTGGCATGTGACAGCCAAGAGTGTCACTGGTGCTATTGTGGGGGACAGAGTTGGGCTTTTGGGCATGCTGAAGTCTGGAAAGATGTATCCTTCTAGGAATTGAACATATATGCAGCTATATACCCGAATTAAGTCAAGCAGAGAAGTATTGTGTTTCCGTTAGTAAAATGTCATATTTTTCCTTTCAAGTGAAATGAGCCAGAGGGACTCAATTCCGTATGTGTCATGTACAATTCACTAAGCAATCCACCTGTGTGTCCACAACTCACAAACTTCTACTTCCCCTTTTATGCTGAGAACATCCTGAGTGAGTTAATAAAAAATAGTAGGCAGTTTTTTCAGTGTTAGTGCTAGTTTGTGTGGAGGTTGATGAAAGATTCATATTATATGTGAGTTTGTATTTTCAGTACTCTTATCTCTTTTCTTCTCTTACATATTCTGCTTTTGAAACCCTAATAGTCACAGGGTGAGATTTTAGTTTGCTAATGTTATTTAAAATAATGGGAAWTTTTTTTAAAAACTAAATATGTAGCATTTATTTTCATGAGACACGTTTCATAGATAGAAATTCAAGCATGTGATTAGGCACTTACATTTACATCTGATAAAATGAGCTAGGGATTCTTCTTTAAATTGAACTAATTTTTAACAATGTCTCTGCTCTTTATTATAAAGATTCAAAATAGTTTGGATTCAATAAAAAATCAGTTGAAGTCTGTGTAGCTGCCCCCAGCCCCAAAGGTTCTTCTCAGTGGTAGTTAAGAGTAAGATGTGGCTTCTTGAAGACTTAGGTTCTCAAGCCCAGTAGTGTTTTCCTTTTGTATCCTTCAGCAGTTTCCAGTAGAAAATACAATGCAGAAGTGTCTGGAAATCATTACAAATTCACAGGAGTTCATGCTTTTTGTTCAAAAATATGTTTTGGTYTCATATCTTTTTCTTGAACTCATTTTTAATTTATAGCATTTCTTAAATTAACATACTGATTTTTATTTTATGCTGGTGTGTCTTGAATAAGTGAAGACATTCCTCATACTATAAAACAACAGTTAAATAAAACTGCTGCTATGTAAGATGAAAGTATCAATAAACTTGGTTACAGTAAGGCCCCAGTCTCTATTATTGTTATTTGTTCTTATATTTTTAGCTGCTTCTTTAGCAATAAATCTTGATCTTGTAACTTTAAAAGTGGCATTTATACAACCAGCTAACCTGTTCCATGAGAAATATCTAAACAGCACCAGCTGAAAAGCCCAATCCACAGAGGAATCAATTTAATACAAGTCCCCAGAGTTCTCTGTAAAGCATTTGTGTGCATAAACCTGCCATGGCCAAGGGGACYTCATGCTCTGTGCCTTGGGGGGCCTGGCATTTGGCACTGAGGGCACTGAGGAGAGCAGATCACACAGCCTGCATTTGCAGTGGCATAATATGTCTTGATGTGTACATGATGGTGGTAATAACATACATTGTTTTTGTTGGTGACAGGTTTTATTATGCTCAATTTTTGTAGCTTTCATGAATTTGCTCTGAAGTTTTAAGGCTGTGCTTAGATATTGCAGCTATAAGCAGTCACAAGTTATTTACTTGCAAAGAGAAGGATTACAGTTGGAAGAAAATTGTGAGCACAGCTGGGTTGTTAATTCATGAATCATCACAATTAGGGCAGATAGGAAGATTTCTGAAAGTGTGATGTGTAAACAAGTCCTGGAACAAGAATGGCCTTAAAGACCAAGGATGTGCCACACTTGTTTCTGTGCATATTGCCGTGGTATTGGGATATCACACACCCCTAAGTTTTGGCATTCTGAAKGCAGCAGTGCAGGTGGAGTGCTCACCTTGCTGCAAGGTGCAGTTTGTGAGTGAGAGCATCGCAATGCAGGCAGGCTGGCTCCCAGCCTCCTGCCTTGGGGAATAGCATGGATAATTTACAAGAGCTGCTTTTTCTAAGGAAAAGGGTTCAAAGACTTTGTCCTCTTCTCTGAAACAGGCTGTCTTGTCTCAGGTTATTCAGTGTATAAAATTAGCCTGGTCGTGTGCTTTTAAATCATTTAAGTTAGAGCTCTCCCTTAATGGAGCTCTGTGCTTTTTGCTTASAGTGTTCCTGCTGCGGTGCGGAGAGACTCCAGCCAAGATCAAAGGTGGCTTGCCCAGCATCAGTGTGAGGGACATGTCAGAGGCAATTGCTACCCTGGAGCTGGTAGCCTAAATCAACCAGGCAGAAAAGAGAGGCGAGGAAAATAAGTATCCCGACCTGTGGAAGTTGCGGTGTGTTGGCTTAAATGGAAATGGGACAAGGCTCAAGGGAGATGAGCAGCAGAGCTGGTGTGAAACCTCAGTTGTCTTGTGCTTTGCAGTGTGCCAGAGGTTGGATTTAAGTAAGGGGCTGAAGGGGCTTTGCCATGTCTTGCATGGGCTTTATGACAGTAAGGGACTGCAGCAATTGTCCCAGAGTGTGGCCACCTCCCACCACCTTTGAGG